GAAACAATTGATATCAAAATCTTTTCTAAAAGATTAGCTAAAAAGCATATGGTCAGAGATCCATGACTCATGGATTGTTAAAGCAGTTATTTACTTACATGTTTATCCACAGGCATATTACTGTGTCTTCTGGATTGTTGTTGCACAAACTGTATAAGTAGAGAAAAAAAGTGAGGTTCTTGTAATTACCCAAATAATTCATTATTTCACTATGAAATAATTTTTACACACTCATAGTATGACAAAGTAATGCTTGAGATAGCATGGATAACTAGTAAATATTTATCTCCACTAGTCTAGGGGTTACTGAATATTAAGCAGAGTCTTCCTATCTCTCTGAAAAGAAAGAGTCCCCATCTGAAATATGCAAAAGTACTACCTGTCTATCATTTCCTGATTAAATCTGAAGACAGGCTTCCCATCTGTTTGTGCAAATGAAAAGTGTAATATTCTACTAACTACTTCGTATGATCACTTTACTTAAGAGTTTCCTGCAAAATGATCTCCAGTTTGTCCAAAGCTTATTTTTAGAACAAAAAGAATCAACAAAAAGCTCTCTGCTTTTAACTAATAATCATGATCCGATCAACTTTATGCTTGAGTTGTCAACACTTGGCCATTAATACTATGTGAATTACAATTTCCATGAATCCTTGGGAACCAAACTGGCTTCTAAGGCACACAAACTGTAAAAGCTATTTACATAGGAAGATGTGTAAAAATGCTGTTGATATATGTCATATCCTACCTTCATTTTAAATATACAATTCTTTTTTAAAGTAACCCAAGTAATATCCTGTTGTGTATTTTAGCTCCATCTGTGCAGGCCAATGGATGTACTTGAATTTACATGCTTACAATGGGCCTGCCCCAAGACCTACTGAATGTATAATACTACCTTTGATATGACCTGAACTGGGCCTAACATTCTACTTAAACAGATATTACTGAATTGATCTTACACATAGGTAAGATCCTTGACACTCACTTCTGACACCAATAGAAATTTTGAAAATAAAAAAATGCCATGTTGGACTATCAGAGGTCTCAATCCTCTAGATAACTGCAGTATCTCTGTGCTGTGATGGTAGCATGGAAAGAGCATGAAAGCCACTTGAACAGAAAAATCCTAACTACTATGAGTTTTGCAAGTGGTTCAACAGCCCCACACAAGGAGGATAAAAAGGTGGCTTAAAACTACTAGTGCAGTTTTCCGCCCTTCCAAAGGAGTAACAAGCAGAAAGAAAAACACAAAATTCAGGACCACAAAGTAGAGGCTAAAGAACAGTATTTTCCTTAGCCTGATTCTCTGCTCACCGCATTTCAGTCACACTCATCCTGGTGCTGCTGCAGAGGGTGCCTACCATAGGTGGATCTCATGCGATACAGGTCATATAACATCCAGTTCCACTCCTTGTGGAATCATAATGTCCACAGATATGGGGGCTAGGTATGCCTGATAACACTTCAGTAAACTCAAGAGAGAAAAGAGAGAGAGAGAGAGAAATGTACACCAAAATATAATTCTCCCTGGCTTCATTTTCTAGCAGTGTGATTTTTATAGATGTTATAAGAAGCAGTAAACCAACAACAATAAAGCAGGACAAGCATAGACATAGAGATGATGCATGAAAATGTATGATCTAATGCAATATAAAATGACCGCAGACAAAATTAAAAGCAATGAAGCAGCTTTGCAAAAAAAAACAAAATCCAAACTTTGGAAGGCTGCGCAGAGCAACGTTTGGTGCAACTAACTAACTAAGTACTGTACTACTAACCAAGGTGCCACATACAAATCAGATACATAGAGTGAGAAGAAAAGCCAAGATGTCAGTGTCAGTGGGACTGCATAGAGTCAGTTGAGGAATGTTTCACCAGTGTGATGACTTCAATATTGTCAGTTTTTGTTTCTTTTTTATCAAATCTTTCAAGCCTCAAATATCCTGCACTTAGCCAGGTATTAAGACTCATTATTTCCTTTCTGTTTTAAGTCTTCCTGTGTCTTCATCAGCCATCTTATAAAAAGGCACAAAACAATGAATGAATGTGATCAAGAAAATATTTTAAACAGCCTTTTTTAAATATCAAAAACATATCTGATTATGTCCCTCCTATTTTTTTAGAAAATTGCTCAAAAGGCAGAATGGGTAAGTTTCTACTAGAAAAACCTGAACAGCAGGAAATATGTAAATATATCCTTCTGTTTCTTTTTCACATGACTACAAAATAAACTACAAATCTCCAATGTTGAAAAGTTCTTCCTTAAGTTAATAAAATCTGTCAGCTTCCATAATGGTTGATTTGAAGAAAGTCCACAGGTGCAGTATTCTGTTGTTCACAGCTTGGGAAGTCAAGGCTTATAATAAAAAGCCCTCTGTGTTATGGTCCTCCTTCCCCATCAATTCACATCAAGTATTATTAGAATCATCTGCCACCTCAGTGGTGCTTCCTCTGTGCTCAAACTGCAGAAGCAACAATGACATTTTACAGCTCTGCAGGTGCTGCTGTGTGTGGTCATGAACACATAAGTGTGGCCTGCTATTGTTCTCCAGTAGCACTTTGATCTCAAGCACAAAAAGCTGCATAGCTGGACGCCCTATTCATTTTTATGCTAGGTTTATACGGATAACAGAAAGGAGAGGTGACAAGAGATGGGCAATCCATAATATTTACTTCAACAACTGCTTCAAATCTTTTTAAACATCATAAGAACATGGCTCATTAAACTACAACAGCCTTGAAATTGTGTTATAAAACCACAAAACAAAAATCAATACATCTGCTGGAAAGGAGGTAATGAAATATATTGAGTTGGCTGAAAAGTGGTTTGTATGAATCATAATATTATTATGTGCACATCACTTCTGTTTCCAATACTTAAAGTTAACAAACTAGGGAGCACTTTCTTCCCCCATCACTTAAACAGGTACCACAAGGTAGTGTTTATCAAAGTTGTTTTCCAAAGCCAATCCTTCTGCTATAAATAACACTAGGGAAGAGAGGGTTTAGTAAAGGGAGATCAATTTAACACATATTTGCTATCTGAGCTTCAGCTGTTGTTGTATTACTTCACGGTCTAATCAATACTCTGCTCATAAGAGCAAAGGAAAAAGCCACAACATCACCCTGATGAGTCACTACAGGTTTATTACTGGACTAAAAGCTGTAGCATTTCTAATTTTAATAAAGATAAATTTTGGTAGCAGCATCTTGGCCCCTATTAAATACTTTAACCCTCCTTCTATCATCTCTCACAATGACTTCCATTGTTTTCTATTAACTTTTCTACTGTCTTGTATTAACACTTCCAAAAACAACTCCCCAAATAATCATGTGGGAAATTATTCAGAATTATATTTCATTGACAGTAAGATGAAGTTATCACTCTCCAGGTGAATTCAAACAAAAAAAATCTTTATATATTTTAACAGATAAGCGAATAGGGATTATGTGATAAACCCAATCATTGGGAAGCTTGGAGTGGAGGAAAGGAGGGGAACTCTAATAATGAAATAGATTTAAATCATGAAGGTCCCCAGGTGGAAATGTGGCTTTATCACCCATTCATTATACTGTATAATCTGTAATGAAGGAGGCAAAAAACATGGCAATGCAGCTGTGAAATATTTGTTTCTTTATTGGGCTTCTTCAGGTGTTATTCTTTCTTCTTGGGACTATGCTGCTGCTCTGTTCTAAAGATTCTGAAGCATCAGCCAGCTGCAAATTGCACAATACATGTGTATCCTCTGTGTCCAATTACTGTCACATGCAGAGGTGATTGGCAGCTGCTAAAATAGGGAACCATGTGACGTATTGTGGAGCAGTGCCTTCGTCAAGCACCTTTGGCCACTTCACCTGCACTCTGCCCACTAATCCATTCTAAATATCTGAACAGCTTGAACAGTCTTCCCTGCATTCACCACAAGTTTTTCCCTTCAGCTTTAGAATTTATCCTTAAAATACACTAGCCTTTGCTGAAGGAAACAGAAGTCAATTCAGAACTAGTGATCTGTTCACAGTCCACTATCTCACAATACAATATGGCTAGAAATGAGAAAGACCTCTGATGCTCTGCACTTTAATACAAACCTAGAAAGATCCTTGGGTATTGTGACATCATTTTTACAAGAACTAAAATATATGCTATTTATACATCTTTCAGAAATGAGGTGATACTAATATTCATTTTCCCAGTTGTTCCACAGTTAGGTTCAAGGTACCAAGGCACCTGGCTTTACAGGTGGAGGAAAACAAAATAAACACCAACGTTCTTTGTAACTTTTATAGAAAGGTGTGTTATCATCACCTATATGATGCGTACAACTATAAAAATAGTATAAAGATTGTACTGGTGCTCATAAGCAGAACTTACCACTTAAACTCTTCTGTTAATTATATAATATCTTCATCTGTAAGGAGCTTTAAGTTTTTTTACAAGAACACCTTACAACTACAACAAAATCAGTTCAAGAACATTAGGACTCTTGCACTTGGGCTTCTTCACCACTGTGTAATAAAGCCTGGAGAGCTCCTTTTCCACTGTGTAACAAAAGACTGGATAAAGCACCTTGCTTGGGCAGCATTGCCCCATGGAAGGGGGATAATTCTCCTGTAGGATACTTCCCTGTATGTGAATGTGCATGTGCTCACATATGCTCAGAGGGAGTGCCCCAGTAAGAAACCATTACCTTTAATGCCACCCCTAACTACATAGTTCTGGATGAAACCTAAGAAACGTGTGTTATTAGAAGAAAAATGGGAAAGAACTGTTTTGACAAACTATCCACTGAGGAACACAGTTTCAGGAGAGCCCAAAATATTTTAAAAATTCAGGACAAATTTGAGAAATAATTTCACCTGAAAAAAAAACTGCTAAAAACCCCAGTAAATTAGCTTGTTTGGATATTTTCTAAAGCTTCCCCCCCGCCGCCCCCCCGCCCGTTTAAGGTAATAACAGAAAAGGCCAGCTGTGAAGGGGTAGGTTGGTTCCTAAAGCTGTTAGAGGAAGTATCATCCTGCCTCCCACATCTGTTCAAAGTCGTAAGAGGAAAAAACAGTGAACGCTTCACCTTCGGAAATACAGCCAGCCCTGAAGTGGTTTCCTAAAACGATTTGAAAAAGAAAGTGGCTTCCACTTAAGGGTCTTTTTCTTTTTGGACAGGAATTGAAGAATACTGTATCCAAATGCAACTGATACAGGAATTAAGAATCCTTTAGATTTCCAGGAAGACCAAGACTAATTGCTTTAAACAAAAACCAGTAAAGGGCCCTGAATCCCAGGCACACCTCAAGTGAATTTTCCCTAAACATAAGGAGGTATATGTGGGAATAATAGGCTGGACTTCATACTGCCTTTGTACCTATCAATATGAAACCAGGTAAAGATTGGAGGCAACACAACACAGCCGATACAGCAGAACACAGAGCTATTTCAGGGCTTAGTACATTCCTCCCCTAACGTGCTCTTTCCTCAACTGCAGGGGCGGGCAATTATTTTGGCTGAAGGGCCACTTAATGAGTTTTGGCGAGCTGTCAAGGGCCACATGGGTAGCCCCGCCCCTTAACAGGTGCCCCGCCCTCTGGTTGCCATCTTGGGACCAGAAGTCCTGCCCCCTAACCCCTGACCTTTGGCTCCAGAAGTACTCCTTTCAGCAAGGGTGTTGCCATCTTGGAACCAGAAAAAAAACAAATTATATTCTAAAACTCAAACATCTACTACAACATACATTAATCTGATTTCAAAAAATATTTTTGTTCTGATTTACGTGTTTGCATAGTATACATAGAAATTATTGCATAAGGGCTTAAATGAAGTCTTACTTTATTATATTGTGGGGGACGTGGAGGGGTGGAGGGGGTACAGGTGGGTGGGTACAGGGTTTGTGGGTGCTGTGGTTGCATGTGTGGGGGTATGTTTTTGGGGTGTGAGGGAGGGTGAAATTGTGCGTGTGAATGTGTGTGTGGGGTTTGTGGGGAAATGGATAGATGTGGGGTGCGTGGGAGGGTCTGGGGTTTGTGGGGATGCGTGGGTGTGTATGTGGGTTGGAGAAGCATGTAGGTGTGTGTGTGGATGTGTGGGGTGTGGGTGGGTATGGGGTTTCTGGGGGCTGTGAGTGTGTGAGCATGGTTGGGGGAGTTGTGGTGTGTGTAGAGGGGGTGGCTAGGGTTTGGGTGAGGGGGTGTGGGTGTGGGGTATGCCTGTGAGGTGTGGGTATGTATGTATGGTGGTGTGAGGTGGGTTGTGGGTATGTGTATGGGGAGGTGTGCATGTGGGGGACCCCCTCCCACCTCAGCCCCTGCCACCACCAGCAGCAGGCAGTGAGGCCTTGGGGAGCTCACAGCCTGTGGCAGGTGGAGACCCCCAGTGGTTCACAGTCCTGGCGAGCCCCAGGACTGCACGTGGCTGGGCCACCTGCAGAGAGAGGGGGAAGCTGGCCTGGTTCCATAGAGCCCCTACCAGCCTGGGCTCCGT